CGTCCTACAAGTCTTCGGCTGCTTCTTCTGCGTCCTGCTGCCGTGTGGAACATGCAGCCGTGCAGTCCTCCCTCAGCATGCCGTCGCTCTTCTCTCGCAGTTAGAAGTCAGAAGAGGCCGGTCGTGTCCGGCTCTTTTACGGACACCCGCGCGATGGCATGTTTGTGGAGAACATGAGCATAGGCCAGGCCTTTTCCCTGCAGGCCAACGCAAGGCTTGCAGACAACCTGCTTGGGGAGAACGAAGACAAGAACTTCCGCAACGCACGGAGCCTGGGCCCGTCGGACGAGGCTAGCACGGTGAAGTGGCTGGCGCCTACACCGGTGAAGCAAGCCGGCCAGGGCAGGCCTCAAGAGGTCGCGGAGAGCCCACGCCAGGACCCCGGGACGCCGGCAGCGCAGCGGCAGGAGCAGAGCCCTGGTTCTAGCATCCCGCCCACGCAGCCCCGCAGCCCTTGGGTGCAGAAGCTTCTCAAGAGAAAGAAGGACCGGCAGGGGAAGCACGCAAAGGCCAAGGCAGAAAAGCGTGCAAACAGGGACTAGACCACTGCTGCTCTGCAGAAGACAGACGGAGTCTCGGCATGCTTCACATGGCAGGGGATGTCGTGTGCAGCAGGAATTATATCGACGCGAGACTGCAGCGCCTCAACGTCCAGACAAAATTGGTCAGGCACAGTCTGGAGTCTGCCCGTTTCCTTTTCACTGGCTCCGCTGTAAGCAGAGTTTCCGCCCTCCGACCTGGTTCAAGTCACACGTGTTCCGTAAGGCTAAAGTCTGCACGAAGGAACCCCTGCAAGCCCTTGCCTGGAATTGTGTATAGAAGCCTCTAGCCTTACAGAGGCTATAATAAGAAGCAAGGAGTCGAAACATGTAGACCTTGTGCTGTGTAGCAGAAGGACGGTTTAGAGTCTGCTAGAGAACACTTAGCCTGTCCAGCCAGTGTGTTCCAGCTGCTTCTCTTCCTGGATATGGAAGAGACCTGACGAGAAAGCTTTGCTGCAGAGCCCCACGTGAGGCAACTTGCTTCCTGCACACGCGGCTGCCGTGACTGGACAAATGGTATGGGAAAGCGAGCTGTAGTCTCGGCGGCAGATGCTGCCAAGGCACTTCGGAATCCCGGCACTTCAGTGCGGCAGGCAGCGGAAGATGCAGGGCATTCCCGTGCGGCTATGAGGCGTGCAGCTGCACGTCTTACTCTGCCGGAGCAAGCATACAGAACGGTGACCTTTGGTGAGTATTGCATAGCAATCGCCTCTGTGCCAACTGTGCTCCAGCAGATGTGCCTGCAAGTGCGCGATCTTGGCGATGCTTTGGCTGCCTTGCAGACCCAGGCCGCCGAGCAGCCACTGAATCTGGTGCTTTCTTTTGATGAAGCCACGGCAGGCAACGTGCTTGCCCCAGATCCGCAGAAGAAGAGCTGCATGGTGTACGCTTGCATAAAGGAACTCGGCACGCAAGCAGCGGCGCTGTGTCTCCCGCTCTGCGTGATCGGGTCAGACACCATGAAAATGGGATTGCAGAATAGCTTGGGCCCGGTGCTTCGTCACATCCTGCGTTTCGCTGCGGAAGACAAGCTAGCTGAGGGATTCCTGATCCAGCTCCTTGGCAGACCTCCGCATTTGTAGACTTGGTTCTAGTATATAAATAGTTTTCTTGTGGCTCTTCTTCTTGGGGCTTCGCAGGTGCTCCCGGTCCTTCTTTCTCCGACTTCAAATCAGCGCCGTCATCGCGGACGGGGAAGCAGTCCGTCAGGCTTTGAACTGCAAGGGGGCTTCTGGGCTCAAGCCGTGCCATCTCTGTAAAAATGTCGTCATGAAAGGACACGCATTGGCATCGGCACCGACCCTGCGTGATTATGCCTGCGACATCTGTTCTTCAGACATAGATAAATGGGATCTTTTGGAGGACGAAGAGCTTTTCCAATTCTGCGACATGCAGCGGCAGAGGCAAGGCAGTATTCCCGCGAGCCTCTTCGCCGAAGAAGAGACCCTGAGCGGCTACTGCTACAACCCGGAGGGCATACTGCAAGATGACTTCGCCAGGACACTCTCTACTATCATCTTCTTTTATACACCCCACACACGGGCTTAACCCTTATAGGATGGATATTGACACCAGTAGCCTATACTAGAAACTCTTCCTGCAGGAGACTGTTACCACCCAGCAAGTGGCTCTTCGACTTCCTGCACCTCTACTATACGGCCGGAGGCTGCGCGGCCGTGGAGATGGCATTTCTGATGCGCGAGTGCGATCGCAGGCTGCAGCAAGCGCCTGAGGACTTCGCCTCGCTCTTGCGCCAGCTGCCATGGCAGACGCCAAGCCATGTTGTCGGACTGCAAGGTCCGGCATCCCGCGCACGCTTGCTGCAGGCCGCAAGGTTTCCTGAGAAGTCCTACAAAGGCAAAGCTGCTCACCTGATGCAGCTGCTTCCCATGATCGCCTGCCTTGTGGAGCTTTATGACGAGGAGGACCAGATGGCAGGACCTTTAGCCAGCTATGCATGTTTGCTTGAAATACACCGCGAACTTAGCCGCCTGAAGCGGCTAGGCCAGATATCCGACACATCAAAGCTACAGCAGCTGCAGCGAGAGCACCATGACCTATGCCTCGCTACATATGGCGAAGGAATTCTCAAGCCCAAACACCACTGGCGACATCACGCAGCAAAGCAGATCGAGGAGTGGGGCGCCTACATGGACACGAGCGCTTTCGAAGCGAAGCATCAATCATACAAACAAACTGCGAACAAAAACTTCGACGTTTTGGTGTCCTCTCCGGCCTGGTCCAAAGCAATCCTCGACCGCATGCTTTGCTCGTGCGTCGACCAGATGAAAGTCCACTTCGAGCGCCGTGCCCTGCCTGGCCGTGGCAAGGAGACGACAATCCTCTGGGGCCAGCAGAAACTCAGGGCATTCAAGCAAGTGCAATGGGAGGGGCTCACCTGGAAGGCTGGCGACTTCCAGTTGGAGCCTTTCCCAGGCAAAGTTTGTCATTGCTGTCTGAGCTCCACTGACAAACCTTTCCTTTTGCTGCAGGAATATACCATAGTCAGCAAAAGTCGGTTCAGCATGGTCCTTCGCGCTGCTCAGAAGGTTCGCAGCCTGCAAGACGTGCTGCGCTCTAAGCTGGCCTCCTGGTGGCTGATCGAAGAGACAGGACTTGTGCGAGCTCTGCGTTGAAAAAAAGAAGGTCGCTGCAACTCTGCTTTCTCCCTAAAACCAACCCTAACGCCCTTTAAACCTAACTGAATAACCAACAAAAACCAGGATGGAGACATATCATCGGCGCAACCGAAAAAAAGATAAAAAAAGATAAAAAAATAAAAATAAATAAAAATTTTTAAAAATAAATAAAAGTTTTAAAAACAAAATATTCAATACTAAAACCTACTTAACTTATCTCCGTTTTAACTCATTCG